TTGTTTTCTGAAACTGCAAAATAGCACCAGGGAACGTTTACGTCAGAACACGCCTCCTCTTTTCGCTGAACCGCCAATGATACATGCGTCGATGTACAAAGTCAATTGCGCTGGGTGCAAGATAGGCCCATAGAGTTTAATGACCTCAAATCATGATCAACAAGACACGTTTAGCTGATCACATCTACAATGACATTTCATATTCATTACTTTCCCTGCAATGCATCTTGTGTAGAAGGAAGTTTCCATGCTTACCCTTGTGTTACTATTCTACATGACAAAACGGTCAGAACTGACAAAAGCTAATAATAAAGAAGCAGACAGAACATGTAAATCTGTAAATCTTAAGTAGATATATCAGTTACCCCCTCTTTAAACTTTCTCAACTGCCATTTCAAAGAATGTTTGAAAGTTTTCACTTCTCTTGATATCAATGCATATAAAACACTGAAATGCTCCACACATGATGCATATAGAGCGTTGATACGAGAGCTGATGTGTCCTTAGTCAATGGCAGGTGCTGAAGAACACAGACCAAAGCTTAGAAAGTTCACTTCGCGTATACAGACAGGAGCCATCTTAACACAATAGTCTCGATAAGTCAAACCACGAACGTCGTGCTGAGTGATCTGAACTGTATGAAGTTCAGCGAACTTCTGAACTGTATACGCACAACTGGCGTTGCGTCATAGAATGTCTCTGAATAGGTTCACGCCCACTTTTGGGGGAAAACAAAGTAGACTCCCCATAGACTTCAATACAAAATAACAGCAAAAACCAACGTCCGTACACAGCCGACAGGCGTAAATAACTTAAAGGGCATATTGCAGGTTAGAGGACCCAACGAGTCAATGCATAGAAAAACAATGTAGGAACTAGATTTTCTTTAAAATATACGTATAAACACGCTACAGAAGCTTCTGAAGTCGTTTTTGTGAGAAAATTTTACTTCCGCGTCTGAAAATGGGCGTGGCGGGCGTGACGCAATGAGCGGGAGAGCGGTCGATTCACACAACAGGAAAACAATGGATCGCATGACATTTCGGACGCTGAGGAAATACTCGTATGACGGATCAAGCCAGAAAGTTATGAGCCTGCTATGCTAAAGAGATCAGGGACAGGCCAGGATAATGTCAGACAGAATGGTCAGAGAAAAATTGAGCTGTGATGTGAGGAGAAACAGTGGCGAACAGGACAGGTGCCTTTTAGGTGAGAGACGTGCTTATAGTAGGCTATACACGTTCGCTAACGATATACACTGTGCTTACAATATTGTACAGATTATTATGATCCTATAACAGGCCAGCAGACATTAGTATGTTTAGGGTAGATTTATATACTATTAAATGTATAAAAACTTTACTTGAGTATATTTCTATACTAAAAGTATACTCAGGTAAATTTTTAATACATATTTTTCACCTAGGTTATAACATAAACAGAACATTAAAGATTTGAGTATTTAAACAACCAATTTTGTTTTTCAATTACAAGTTCCATTTAGGGCATTACATGACTATGTTACCTATATAACACTATTTGATGCCATTGGTAGTATACGACGATCAATATTCTTGCTTCGGCATACCATGTTGAACTCCATCATATCGCCGGGATGCTAATCATTTGATCTGAAGTGAACGCTACACACGACCGCGTTTTCCGAGCCGATGCAGAAGAGAAATCCCGTCTCTTCACCTGCTCAAACCGCACCAGGAACGAAAGATAGGCTATAGCACCGTCACTTTTATTGTAAAGGAAACTTGTGGACTCGATCTTGAAGTCCTGCAGGCTGGAGTTTTTGCAATCTCCACAAACACAATAATTTACCATGACGATGATAAATTAAAATGCAAAAACTAACGAAAGCACACTGACTGACGAGCGCTCTCACTGAACACCAGCCTGCTCTCACTGAGCCGAGGCTGCGGCTCCCTGATATGACGTCAAATGACGCGATGTTGAAAAAAAAGCCGTTTTTACTAGCAGTCCAAGAAACGCTCACTTTATCTTCTAAATTAGTGCCCTTATGTTGTTTTAAAACATTTTAAATCCTGCATTAACTTTTCATATGGTATTTTCATGCAAGGTTATCTATAAATTTCGATTTTTTTTTTACCTGCAATATGCTCTTTAAGAAATCACTTATATAAAATATGTCAAGTAATTATTTGTCCACCCTGCCTGCCATAGAGTGTGAAAGATACATACACAAACTTAATTTGGTCAATTTAAAAACATGCCCCTTTATTCTCCCAGCGTCAAATTGGGGTAACAACCCCACCCAGTGGCCAGGGGTGTCTTACCCGGATATTTACTTGTACCTCGTCGAGTCAACAGGTAAGCCCCTGAATGATATTATTTTGTTTTTTAAAGTAAAAAACCTTAATGTATATATTATGAATTTATGATGATGATGGCAGGTAGCCTGGGCAAGTTGATAACGGGCATAAAAAATGTATCTTTCAAGCTCTATGGCAGGCAGGGTGGACATATAATTACTTGACATCTTTTATATAAGTGATTTCTTAAGTTATTTACGCCTATCGGCTTTGTACGGACGTTGGTTTTTGCCGTTATTTTGTATTGAAGTCTATGGGGATTCTAGTTTGTTTCCCCCAAAAGGGGGCGGGGACAAAATTGACAGTTAAGTTCCCGGATGTGCCGGTTGTGCGTATGAACGGCGTTCGGGGATCGACTTATCGAGACTATTTTTTAAGATGGCTCCTGTCTGTATACACGACGTGAACTGTCTTCATAAAGTATCTTCTTATTAAACGGTCTATACACTTACAAAGTTCTCAATGCTTCGTTTTGCATGTATGGGGCCTCATTATGTTACTGCGTTATTGTGGGGCTATTTTGAGCCTTGTTAGTGGTATAAACTAGCGATTTCTTTTTACTTACTCAATGCCCCCATTACTAGCATTATACGCTAAACAGTTTTTAGAGATAAAACTCTTTATATTCGATTATCATGAAAACAAATCTCAGAGAACGATTGACTAGGTACCGATGTTTTATTAGACCAAAGGTTCATTGTTCGCCGGAGTTCTCCTTTAATGCTCATTGGTTTAAACAACCGTGATGAATTGTTCTCTTTTAAAATGTTTGATTTTAAAACTGATATCATGTTTTATGTGTATACATATGGGTGAATAAACTCTCTGACAGTGCCATATGCCATATTATGTGTTTTCTTTTTAATTAAAACAATATATAAAAGCACCGATTGATAAAAAAAAAAAAGAAAAAATGATTGATAAACACATATTTGGAATGTAATTAAATAAGTACTTTGGGTGTCTTGTTCATTATATTTATTTTCATATAAAAGCAGCAGAACTTTAATTAAATCCAGTTTAGCATCATGTGACGTGCACGAGCGTTAATCCCGCGATATCAGTCTTTGATCTCACAGGTGTCAGATCCACTACGAGAACAGAGATCTGTCCGGCTTGACTGCGCTTTTTTCAATCCTCCTCTCACTGCAGTGGCCTACTCTCGCATACATTTCAGGCGAGGCAAGGCCCATCTCAAACAAGTAATAGTAAAATTACACGATAGAAACTTCCCCTAAAGAGCTATAAAGAAGAGGAGAATGTTGTGTCTGAAAGCTATCTTAGCGCGTAGCCACTGGCGATAAATTATTTCATGGTCAGTCTCAGATGTGCCATATACATAACGCTCTGGTAAATGCATCCAGGTGCACCCCCACTCCATCCCCCGGTGGAACGGGTACGGTCTAACCGTGAGCAAAACACGGAGAAATGGAAAATCAGATCAATGAGTCATTTTTTTTTTATGTTTGTTCAAAAACCAGACTACGGACGCAACAACCCAAGCATGTAGAATTGAAAATGAAACTGAGAGACAATAATCTGTTGTCCATAAAAATGGAAAATTAAAGTTTGAAGACAATTTTTCATTTGGTTAATTTTAATGGTGAAAATTGAACTGCAAAGCGTTACGCGGACCCTGCAAGCAATCAAACAAACGAAAATTTTCATATTTGGTTCATACAGATAAATAAATAAAACATTGATTCGTTATTTCGTTTTTGGTTTGCCAGATTAAATGGAATAATCGAATGATTGGATGACATACGGACCTGTTATGTTAACTTTGCAGTCTAGCTGGTTTTTCCAGTAATTTTCAGGGAAAGTTTCAGGCATTGCTGCTGAAATGACTCTCGCTTCCCATTCAAACACATACAGCTTCATTACCGACTGCAAACTGGTATGTCCCTCTTTTAGTTTCCTGAGTTAATGATCTTCTGATCAATATATGTTTAGATTTAACTTAAATTGCCTGCAGGTTGATAAGATGATAAGATGTAACGTTATCAATGAAATATCCTCATTATATTTCCAGTGGCAATGCATGTGTGTGCTTTTCTTCTGCTGAGCTTTGCTGTGGCTCTTGGTCATGCATCAGATGTAAGTTAGATACGGTCATTGTCCACATTGTCATTAAATAAAGCAATATACAGCTGGGTTTTTTTATTTTTAGGCTAAATATTTTTCTTTGTCTTGTTTGTATATCTCATGTTGTCAGAACCCACCTTGTAAGTACAGTACAGTCACATTCGTCTGTGGTAAAGTTATTATAATACGTTTCCAGGATGAAATATCCTGTTTTAACTGCTCATTACTGCTTGATGATGTAATTCCTTGTTTATCGCTTATTTCATATGGTTTCATTAAATGTACATTTAGTCCAGCACTCGATGCACACAATGCTCTTTCCCTGTCTGTGTCTTTTGTTGACTTCAATATAATTTTCTCCAAGTCATTTTTCCGAAATGGGTGAGCATTCCGGATATAAACAAAGGTAAAACTATTATAGCATTTCAAGAACCCAAATACATTTATATAAGCACTAAGATAACTTTTATCTATTTTAATACTCTTACTCATTGTTTTATTGAACACTTTTGTGGTATTAGGTTTAAATCTCACAGAAGGAGACATCATGACGGTAAGTCTGTAAATATATATAAATGCAGGTAAGTCTCTCTCTATATATTTATGAAATCAGGAAACGTGAAATGATCTGTTTAAAGCCTAGTCAAGCGAGCGGCGTTCCAGGGAATCAGTCCTTGTGGGAAATTCCCGTCCCCTATGAGCTGAGTGTAAATCTCAGTAAGATTTCAGACTCCTCACTTACGCTTCAATCAACTTTGAAATATTTAATGTAACTTTTATATTGTTTTCCACTGAGTTTTGTTTGTGTTTACAGGTGTGAACTACAGAGGAGTCATATTGAGAGCCTTTGAGCAGTTCAGACTGAAATCATGCATTGACTTTAAGCCCAGAGCGGCAGAAGAGTTTTACATCTCAGTGGAGAGTCGTGAAGGGTTAGTCATAGATTATAGACTCTTCTGATGTGGAATAAAATAGTTCAAATAGTTCAGTTAATTATTTACCAATCAAAAGTCTGACACTTATAAACTTACAGTATAATTAGACTGGCGTCTTTATCCGTGTGAATGCCTTGTGTTGCAGGTGTTGGTCACACATCGGACGCACGTCTCCCGGAGGCCAGACTCTTTCCATTGGGAATGGCTGTGGAATAAAAGCCATTGTTGAGCATGAGTTTCTCCACGCACTGGGACTCTACCATGAGCAGACGAGATATGACAGAGATGATTATGTGACAATCAGATATGAAAACATCCTCAAAGGTTTACTTTGTAAAATAGTCAGTGTATTAATTTGCTTTACATCCTGAGTGTCAATATTACTAAAGAGAACTAAGAGAAAATAAGCCATTCCTCATGATCAATCATCTTAATAACTGCAATACTATTTATTTTCAGGTTATGAGAGTTATTTCAATAAATCCAGTGAGAACGTGTCCAGCACCCCATATGATTATTACTCTGTGATGCATTTTGATCAAAACGCCTTCAGCAACGGTAATGGATCCACGATCATTACCAAGCGTCCTGAGTTTCAAGATGTGATCGGACAACTAATGGAGATGAGTGAATATGATGCGATTGAGCTCAACAAACTCTATAAATGCAGTAAGTATTTGACTGTTTTTCATTTGTGGCCTTTAATGTTTTTTTTTTTCCTTTTCAACTTGTGGATTGTATGTAAGACTAAAATGAAGTTGCGGTTGCTGGATATTTCATCCGGACCGATATTTGATGCCAGGGAGACCAAGGACTATTGTGATGAGCTGAAGTTGTAATGCATTGATTTAGTCTCAGTGTTTATTTGCAGATTCCTCCATCTCTTTCCTTGACCACTGTAGTTTTGATGATGAATCTCTGTGTCAGATGAGGGTCTGTTCGGCTGCTGAGTACGGCTGGCAGAGACTGAAGTCCGTGAGTGGCATCAATGTGACTGACCACAGCTACTTGGGCAAAGAGCAGAATGGTGAGAAAACCCCTTGACTTCCATCCACAGTCACTGTCCACCCAGTTCCCCAAACCACACACCTGTCTTCATGCCTGCAGGGACGTCTTTCTTCATGCACTTCAGCACTGAGGGCAGAAACCAGGGGGACTCGGCCAGATTGGAGAGCAAGACACTGACCCCTACAAGAGACTGCATAGTCCAGTGCCTCCAGTTCTACTACTATCACAGCGGCGATGAGTCTGACCAGCTCAATATCTGGATCCGAGAGTACCAGGATGAAGCAGACAGCAGAGGAACTCTCAGACTTATGGATCGGGTCACAGGTCCGTCTCTTCCTGCAGAACTCATATAGGTCTTTATTTCAGTGTCACTGACCGCTTCTTTTCTTGCAGAAACCCCTGGTAATTACTGGAAGCTGCATCACGTGCAACTGAACGCAAATACATCTTTCCAAGTTGTATTTGAAGGCCGTAAAGGAGCTGGAAACTCCAGTGGAGGATTCTCACTGGATGATATCAATGTTTCAGAGACCGAGTGTCCCATCACATGGCAGATAAGGGACTTTGAGAAGCTGTCGAAGAATACTTTTAGATTATTTAGTCCACTGTTTTACTCCAGTGATGGTTATCGCTTTGGGGCAGAGTTAATTTTTGAAGAAAATAAACTTGAAATACGTGTTGGTATGGTATCTGGTGCATATGATGAGCAGTTGCAGTGGCCTTGTCCATGGAGACAAATAACTGTCCAGATCCTTGACCAGAATCCACACATCCAGAAGCGCATGTCCTTTGAGCAAAGCATCACCACTGACCCTGAACTGACTAATTATGGTTAGATCTTTAATTCAATAAGATTATTTTTCTGTTATATTGTTTTTGTCATTTTTCATGTGTTTATATGCAACACTTTACTTGGATGACAATTAAAGTTATTACTCTTTAGCTTTTAGGGTTATTTTATAAGCCATGTTTTGTTCTAACAGGTGGCCAGTTTTACTGGGACAAACCGCAAATATATCAAATCAACATCGATGGTGAGTCTGTATTTGTGGGTGGAACTGCCGTTTTTGTGTCCCTGACAAGAGATGATCTTGCTAGAAGAGAGTTCATCAAGGGTGGGGACCTCATACTTCTCCTCTCCATGCAAGGTAGGATTTATGAAGTAACAGAGAACAAGTTCAACTACTGTATTAATAGCGAACAGGGTTTTATTCGAATGATGTTTGGGCATGAATTACATTTCCATTGTGGTTCACTTTCTGAGAGCATCTTTATAAATGTGTCCCAATCCAGATATCTCAGGACTTCTTAAGAAAGACTCTCTTCCCTGCCCTAAAGTTACAGTGAAGAACTTCAACGTTTCTACTGACACAAGTGCACTGAATGAGGGGCCGTGTGCCTCAAGGTGAATATCCTTTGATTCTGGTGCACTTTGATTTAGATATCTGCATCTGATCAACACATTACAATTATTGAATTAAGCATGATAATATGGTAATATATCACACTGAAGTAGGCTGATTTAAAATTAAGAACTATTTCAATGAAAAGTTCTTCTTTTGGCAAAATTAAATTTCCTTTATAGCCTAAACAGAGGCTTTACTCCCTTTAAACTTAAATTGTCAATGTTTAATTTTTGAAAACACTCTTATCAGAATCATTTTCCCACTAATTTTATTTAATGTATGCTCTAAATTTCATTTCAAATTCTTATTTTATTAATCCATTCAATTAAAATAATAATATATAGGCTGTTACCAATCAAATTAAATAATTTACATTGAAAAATTATAACTGTATTAAATGAGATTATGAGATTGTTTTAATATACAAATAAGGATTGTCTAAAAGAATAATACTTTGAAACTAAACCGCCAGTAGGAGACAGCAGCGGCCTCTTAATGAGCGAGTCATTGAGTCATTCATTTAAATGATTCGTTCAAACGGCTGATTCATTCAGAATGAGGCAGTTTAATAATGGGTAATTGAATCTTTGACTCGAGCGATTAGTTCAAAACGCTGAATCGCTCAGTAATGAATCATAGGTGAGTGTTGCGGTGACATGCGCTGTTGTTTGGAACTATTTCCGCTGCTGAAACAGAACAAAAACAGTCATTGCGTCTAAAAATGTAAGTAACTTAATATGAACTATTTTATTTGTCTATTGAACTTATGAAATCAATATCTTGGTTTCAATTGTGATGGCATTCAGGAAAACAGCACGCTGGTCGTGTGTAGCCTATTTATTGTTTCTTAACTGTAAATTAATATGTTATAAATAACTGTGCGAGCCTCAACAGCGCAACTTTGTTACCGCCCGGACTCTGTACATCAGCAGCAGCACCACAACAACCATAGACATATACACTAGACCTCACCTTTGGGTTCTAAGCATGCGTCAAAATCGCCGCCATCTTGGAACAGGGGTCTTGTCATAGGAAGTAGCTAGGTAACGCTGCTATCTCTGCCTTTACTTCGAATTCATTGATGGTGGCGGACTTTTGTGCAGCGTATGATGTTCACGGATGAAATCTGAACTAGGAATAATGTTGTTTTTTTTTTTTTTAAATTCTTTCTGGAATCAATGATAAATACATGTCTGACCGTTGGAACAAACCAATAAAACAAGAAAAATCGCATTCATGATGATTTATGGTGATTTTATTTCCGTTAGACCTGTGTCTACTACATTGACGCTCATGCATTAAAGTGGACAAAATTTTAAAATGAACCAGTTCAGTTCATAGTCCATACTTAACAATTTTGAACCAAGTTCACACAGTTCCAAAAAATGAACCAGTTTATAGTTCTTTTTTTTCCATATGTTGCTGTGAGCATTTTTTATTTGTATTTTTTATTATTGCCACAGCCTATATACATCCGCTGACAGCAAGTATTTTATCAGCAGGCAAAGTTTGCACAGAAATATCAGATTTTTCCCATCCTCACCGACCTCGTCTTAAAGAGCCCCTATCATAGCATTTGAAATGTTCCTATTTTTGTTTTAGGAGTTCCCAAAAACAGTTTAACATGCATGCAAGGATAAAAAACACTTTTTTCTTATAATATGCATTTATTTTTACCTGATTTGCTCACCGACTCCCAAATGATTCGTACAACGATTCATTTTTCCAAACCACTCCTTTGCGTGACGCTAATCGGCGGTGATTGGTCAGATGACAGACCCAGTCAGTTATTGTTTGTTAGCATAAAGCATAAACATATTGATAAAGCACTGCAGTACTACAAGACGCTCTATTCTCCAATAACAGCGACAAACATTTCACATATTTAAAAGAAATTGACATTGGAGACCAAGAAGCTGCGCAGAGCGTAACTTACACACACACACACACATACACACACACGCATACTTATCGCGCCTTCCCTCCTCGCGCCCGACGCTACAAAACCGTTCAAAACCCATAAAAGCAACAATTATTAATAATACTTACAGGTTTTGATTCGAAGGAGGAAGCTGATCCATATACACTGGGTAAGTAAGTTACTGAGCCCTCCTTCATGAACAACCGCTTGCGAATCCACATTTGAACTCATTTATGTTTTTGAACGATTCGTAATTAAAATGATGAAAACACAATCGATCTATACTGTTGTGGTATCGTTGCAAATATGAACTCTAACCACCGATTCTTCACATGCTCGTCCCTGGTAAATGAAAACAAAGTGGCTGAACTATCTTTGCATTGTAGAACACAGCGTCTTCTCCACATGATGCTATTCAGCTGAAGTATTTGAATGTGTAGCAAGTTTACACTTCCATCTGAGCGCGCAGTAACTGGGCGTGGCCAATATGTCTCTACGTCACGATGTAACAGCTAATGACTCGTTTCAAAAACAATTCATTTCATAGACTCAGAGTCGACTCTCACTTTTGAAAGACAATAACTTTATATACGGTGCACTTTCAGATATAAATCTTTGCAGGATGTTTTCATTCCCTTAGAGCTATAGTCCACACCATATGAACAGTCATTTTCAAAAATCCATGATAGGGGCTCTTTAAAACTTGTGTAAATGATCATACGACGCCCTTCGCTGCTTTGTCGACTACATGCTGCTTTTAGTGACGCTGCTGGTGGCTGGTGTTGCCAAAATGGGTGTTTTACTGTTACATGTTAAGGCCTGTTTCCGTGTGATTTTTGCCGGGTTTTCGCCTGGAAGGCTCTATAGAAATCTGGATATAATATAATATATATAATATTGAACGAAGTTAAACTGAGAGAGTGTGCGTTCACAGACACCAGAATGAACGTGTTCACAGTAACATTCATCAGGCAGTAATACAGTACGTTCAGCTCACGTTCGCCCAAAATATGAACGAATTCATGAACTATCGCTCAATGAATGTGTTTAGGCACAACACTGTCCACTGTGTGAATAAAAAAATGAAAAAAACAGGTGAAGCATGACTTGCATAACTTGGAGAAGGTGTTCAGAGTGAAAATGATGCATCTGATGATAAAACTCTAACAGTATTTTTGTTTGTTTCTTAGAGCCCCTTCCACACCTCAGCCGATCTACACGACAACATCTAGCACTACAACATCGAGCACTACAGCTCCACCAGGGCCCACTGAGCGGTAAGACTACAACATTAGTTTAAACTAATTCATGAATAAACCATAAATAGGGCTGGGTATTCACACACAGGTCCCAATTCAGTTCGGTTCCAGCTCACACGCTTTGACTAACTTTGATTTGATTATGATGATGGATGTGTTTAAGTTACAATCTCTATTTGCTTCATTTATGAATTGGTTTTAAACAACTGAGTATATCCAAAATGTTTCCAAAGCGTCTCTGACAGATTGAGTGAGTTGAATTAGAGAAGGATTTGTGTCCTCCGAGTGATTCAAACAGTCTGTCATTGATATTTACTAACAGAACTGCCTCAAAAGAGTTGTTTTATTTGTTGAGTGTTTTATTCCATGCACGTTATAAATATATATATGCAATTAAATCTGTATTTTTCTATTTCCTTTATAATGTTGATCTTCCCATGTGTTCCTCTTGTAGTGAATGTGTGGACATCTTTTGCAACTCCAGTACCAAGACTGCTTCCTCTCTGATCATCTTGCTGCTTTGCTTTCTTTTGCTGGAGATTTGATCATGACGAATCCCCATTATCACGGCTCTATGTCTGACTGCACAAGATTTCAGTGTCTTCAGCCTTAAGTGTGTATTCTTAATTAAAGGGGATGCTCTCATATAATCTACAGTCAATCAGCTTTAATCATAACAGTTACCAATATATCGTCATATTGAGATCTTATTGTAATCATAATGTATGTTTCATGTATTCTCTCTAGAGGTGTTCAGGTAAACATTTAAAAATATTTGAGTCTTTTCTACGTATAAATCACTGCATGAATATTATCGGTCAAGGTTTGATTTTAATATTGGTGGACAGTTTCATGTCATCAACAGCTTGATGTAACCAACTTGACTCATAATTAAT